AGCTAGCATTTAACTCATTGTACTTGCATATGAGAGATATTGTTTCTTTCACCTGATCTCATACACCTCAGAACTGTATTAATTTGTACATCTCTAGGAACTTTAGCACACCACATTGGCCCTATCCATCTAAAGTATCTCCCTGCTACTAGTTCTTTGTCTTTATCTTTCTCCTGAAGTAGAAACGATATATGACAGTATACATTGTGAAAGAAACAATATCTCTCATATGCAAGTACAATGAGTTAAATGCTAGCTTACCTATAGTAACCATTTGACTAATATTGAAAAGAAAATTTAAAACAATATATCTTGTCAAATAGTAATTTGTATAGACTTATATAAACTTGTATAATATAAATAATATAATAAAATTTAATTGAAATATAATTTATTATTTAAAAATATTTAAATAAAAGTTTAAATTTAATTAACTTGATTTATTAGAAGTTTTAATTAAAAGATTAATTAATTAATTTTGTTTTTTATTTTTTTTTTTGAATAGGTAAATATTATTTCTTTATTTATTTATATATACAATGGCCTATCAATAAATTGTAAATAATTTTGAAATCTCAATTACTCAAAATCAAGTAAGTAAATATAACACTAAATTTTTATCACATGTTTGGCAAATATTATATTATAATATACTAAAATTTTATACAATTTGGTTTATTTGCACAGAAGATATATAAAAAAATTCACAAACTTAGTTTTTTTTATTTGAGCAAAATTAAAAATCTTTTATTTTATTTTATTTTATTTTTTATTTTTCTTAAAAAAAATTAATATTTTATATATCCTCCCTTAACTTTGATACATGCCTTAACCTAATTGAACATACTAATGACTAATCAATAACAATATTTAGATAGAATTTTATTTCATACCTTTATAACAAGGTTATCCAATTCTTTAAGATTACTTGATTTTTTTGTCTTGTGATGTATTGATTTTCGCATCTCAACCTATATATTTTCTATTGGATTGAGATTGGAGCTCTGTGAAGGCCAATCTATCATATGAATTCAATTTTTAGCAATATATTCTTTTGCTTGTTTAGTGAAGTAAAGTCTGGTATTGTTTTGTTGCAAAACTGAATGACCATGATATTTTCTTCCCAGAAATTTTTTTATTGCAAGTAGAACATAGCTTTTAAGAATTTTGTCATGTAATGCAACAGTTGTGTTAGATTTCAAAGAATGAGAGGCCCAACACCAAATCACAAGAAACAGCCCCAATACATACAGCCTGAATTTTGTTTTATAGTGGAGCTAACACAATCAATTTTCTATTTTTTGTTCAATTTATGCTAGGTACAATTGGGAGAACCTTGAAAGAAATGAATTATAGTCTCATCTGATTACATAACATGCTTGAATCTTTTTAAAGACCAATTTTTATATTCAAGAAATCAATCTAGTCTTTTTTTTGTATTCATAGAAGAAATAAATGGTTTTGAAATAGTGACACATGACCTAAAGTTTGCTTTGTGCAATATATGGCATATCATACTTGTAAAAACTTTTTTTTTGTTCCTAATATTAAAAAGATTTGTTATTTGAATGTGATTTAGATGACGATTGCCATTAATAATTAATTTCTTTAGACTTAACTGATTAGAGGAGGTAAGAAGCAAAGAATGTTCAAAACAGGCTTTTTTTTTGCATTTTAAAGATACCCAAACTATTGAATTTCCTTACAATATTCTACACTGCTGACTTGCTGCAACCAATGACAACCACAATAGTGCAAAGTAAATTATCTCTCAAGTAACCATAAATTATAAAACTTCTTTGGTTACCAATCAAATCTTTCTTGTTGTCCATCGATCATAGAAAAAAAATTACATTTTTATTTAATTTGAACTGATCTGTCATACAAACTTACTTTAAAATAGCATTAACTAGGTGTCACAAATGAACTAGAAAAGAAAAAACCAAAAAAACTTTTTTTAAAAAAAAAATGGAAATTGATTTTCGCTTTAACCTAAAAATAGTAATTTGTTTTGCTTATTGCATAACTTTTGCGCAATATAGTCAAATGACATAAAATTTTAGTATATTGTACCCCAAGAATTATCAAACATATTACAAAAATTTTATATAGAATTTATTTGTCCAATATGAAACAATTATGATTTTAAAAGTATTCACAATTTATTGATAGGCCACTATATAAGATATATATTTAGAAAGAAACAATATCTCTTATATGCAAATTGCAATAAGTTAAATTCTAACTTGCTTATAATAATTATCTAACTTCTACTAAAAAAAATTTTTTTTAAACTAGTATATTAATTAAATGATACCAAGTAGCTATAAGTACCTATTTAAAGTTATTTAAAGAAATTATGTTATAATAGTCAGAAATATAATTAAAAATATATGCTATGAAATTAAGATTACTATATATTAGAGTTTTGTAACAATTGTAAGAATATTAACTGTATTGTTATTTGATAGAGAAATTAAATTAATTAATTTTGTTTTTATTTTATAAATTAATAAATTAAATTAAAGATTTATGAATTTATAATACTATAATTAGTACTTTATAAATTATATTACAAGATATTAATTTAATTTCGGATAAAACCAGTTTAGCCAATCTAAAAATAATATTTGATACTATAATTTGTTAAATATTATTTTTTATAAAAAACTTGTTTATATATTAATTCAGCAAGTATTGAGATTATAATTTTCAAAAAAAGATATAATGGCGTAACAATTATTTAATTAATATTATAATTATTGTCAAATATAAAGTTTATAATAGTTAAATAAAATAAAATAAAAATATTTATTCAATTTCTTTAATTAAGATTTTTCTTATATTTAAATATACAAACTGGATTATACTTCATTCTAATTAATTTTAATTAATATTTTTTTAATAATGGTTGAAGTTCTAGTCTAGAATATTACAATCTGATACAAAGCTTAAATAATTACACAGCCATAAGTAATAAGAAAAGTTATAACTTGTATAAATTCAAAATTGATACATGTTTGCAATCTGAAAACAAATAACAAGATGAAAAAAATACTTGAACCAATTTCAATAATCAAGTTTTTTCTAATAATAAAATGAATTATATAGATTAGATAGTTTAAAACTAGTAATAGGATTTTTACTTCGCTTGTATATTGTTTATCTCTTAATATTATTATGAAAAACATATAAACTGTTAGATTTCAAGATACTAAGATATAAGTAGATAAATAGGCATTAAACTGTAATCTAGCATTGTAAAAGATATTGAATATATTTTGTATATTATCTATATGCACATTGTATATTATAAAAAGTATATACAATAAAAGATTGGCATTTATCACCTGTTCTATATAAAAAAAAATTAATTAAACCAATATATTTTAAAAAATTTTGTTTTGATATAACAATAAATTTCTGTAAATTTTAATAATATATTAATAAAATATATTAAATAAATTTGTTTTTATATTCTTATTAATATATATTTAAATTTTTATTTTATTTTATTATTTATTTATTGAATTACAAATAAAATTAAAAATTTGTTTAAAAACTTTTTAGATAAACTGCAGTAATAATTTTATTATATAATGTATATAAAAAAATTTATAAAATCATTTAACAAATGCAAACTATTGTAAACAAATTTTATAAAAACCGGAAACCATTAAGCAAATTAACACTTGCACAATATACAGTAAATAAGTAGTTGCAATAACTATGCAATTAATTTTTTTTTACTACCTTAAAAACTTCACAGTTAGACGCAATGAAAGTATTCGGAATACCAATATTCTTGTATTGACGTGGCTTAGCAGACCAATAAGTAAAGCTGCAAGCCAAATCAGATCCAAATGCAAAACTACTATTAAAATAACAAGTTTGATTAGTTTCATTCAAACCTAAATAAAAACCTTCTTTAATATTGGTATGGTCGTTAAATAAAAATATAAAACTTTCTTTGGTTTCTCTGCTGCTATTACTACTACTCCAACCTAATGGATTGTATCCGCCCACCAGTCTCTTGGGATCATCAATTTTGCACACTACTATAGTAGCCCCTTGGTCGGCGCATTTTTGGTAAAAAGAATTATCATAATTTCCATCTCGGCTGCTTCGATAGAGAAGTTCTAATTCGTAAGAGACTTGACTAAAGCTAGTATAATATTCAGCCTTCTTATCTATCCAGCTTGCAAATAAAATGAGATGTTTCCAATTAATTAACATAGAAGGTAAGGTAGGGATTCTTGGAGGGTATACATTGCAGTGCGGTATGGCCTTAGTAACCATATAACAACGAATAATATCATCCCTAAGTTCTTTAGAAAGAATCTTCTTAAACGGAAGGACTCTAAGATAAAAATCTTCCATGGAAATTTCATGAAATCGAATTAGAGGGATACAGTTACGCAATCTCTTCGCTAATATTTTAAAGTCTTGATCTTTAAACTCTCTAACATTGCTTTTAAGCTCAGGACTTTGTGAAAATCCCCATTTAATCACGTATTCCCAAATTTTAATTTCATCCATTATAAGTTCGTCGCATTCAAGAATTGATATCAATGCGCTTTCTTCTAAAGACGAGAACCTATTTGAATTAAACAAGACATCCGGATCGACAAGTATAGCCTCTACGCAAAACTTTTTAAGATCGTCAAATGTTTCATGTCCAGAAACAATATTTAACATTCCTACAGGATCCTCGCGTAAAAAATCATCCCGATTTTCAATTAGAAATTTCTGGATATAATTAATAGATTTTTGAAGTCCTAGCTCATCTGCAGCGACTAAAACCTTAAGAACCTCCGTACTACCTAGTTCACGGAGGTCAACAACTCCATAATAAATAAACCTATATGAATCACATTTTTAAAAGTCAACATTAAAGTTTCATAAGTTTCACAAGCAGTCATAATCTTTAATGAATCATTTATATACTTAAGAATCACATCAAATGTCGAAGCGGAAATATCTTGTTTTTTAAAAATAAAGTAACCATTCTGTTTCTTCGTCAACTCATATGAAAGCACTCCACGAAAATAAGGTGAGCGAGTACGTAGTACCAAGGAATGAGCGTGAAGTTCTTTAGACTCCTCTCCAGCATAAATTATCACGTCATAATCGTCTTTATTCTCATAAAGTTGCTTAAAATCCTTCATAAATCATAGCCATTAGTTTGAGAGCGAATGATCTGTGTACAAATAGTCTATACTGTATTTGTTGATGATCATTACGATTACGATTATCAAAATTTTTCCGGGTAAAAATCCGAAAATTTTTTTAAACATAAAAAGTCTCACGCATATTATATATTAAGTAAATATAATCTAGACAACTAAATCTATACATAGTTTACTACCATTTATGGTTTACATTTTATATGGAAATTTTTTGATTTTTGATCTTAATTTTATAATTCACACTTTCTAAAATCAATGTTTTAACAAACAATATATAATTAATTATTTTTGTAAAAATTATAATTATAATTATTAACTAGATAATAGACTAGTAGTTAAATGACAAATTAAATTTTAATATTTATTTATATAACTTTTTATAGGTTGTATATATGTAAATATAGCACTTTTGTCA